TAGTCAATTAATGAGGATTAGTTTGGCACCTACAATGGTTGGTAGCCTACAATGTTTAGTCAATTAATGAGGATTAGTTTGGCACCTACAATGTTTAGTCAATTAATGAGGATTAGTTTGGTTGCCTAACTAGGTTGGTTGCCTAACTTGGTTGGTTGCCTAACTTGGGGGGCTTGACTAATGTCTTAGGAACTTGTATATATATGTGTTGATTGTAAGTAATGAAACATAAGTGAAAAATCAGAAAATATTCTACAACTTTCATTCTCTCATTCTCTCTACACTTTCCACTCTCTACTCTCAATATTCTCTATGTTTTGGCAGAATCTTTGTATAATTTAATTTCCATCTGTCAGAAAAAGATTATGAAAAAAGAAAAAAAAAAAAAAGCGGGTCAATATTTGCCGCCTCCATTTTTATCATTGAAATAAACTCATTCAGAGGACCACATTTTAAAACCATATGAGTGTGTTATTATGACTATTTGCTAATTGCTAATTAGATTTGGTTTAGTTTTACTAATGTGGTTCTTTTATCATGAGTGATGGAGACCATTTTGGTTTTCCCACTGATTTGTATGTATTGTTTGTTTTCCTTTTTCTGTGCGTCGATGTTTTGTGCTTGTTTTTTATCTAACGGCAATTAACGTGAGGTAATGTCGATGTTGTGTGCTTGTTTTTTAGTCTCGCTTATTAATTGATGATGATTATAATCCAAGATTAATTAGTTGTTATAATATCCAAGATTAATTGATGATCAGTGGAAAATTCATTCATCTGTGCCTGAAATGCTTTAGGGTACCTTCACCAGCAAATTTTCGATTACGTCTAATTGTTTGTTGCCTCGCGTGTGTTTATCTCTCTCTCTCTCTCTCTCTCTCTCTGTATATATATAGCTGGCATATGCCTCCTGAACTCATCTGAACTGCATCAGCTAGCTGTAGCTCGCCAGTAATAGAAAAAAGATCAAGTACTGTCATCACTAGCTAGAAGAGAAAGAATCATGTTGGCCATGAAGATTTTAATTAGCTTGCAACTTTTAGGCTTGACGTTGTTGTGTTTTGGCATCTTCCATTGCCAAGCTTGGCCTCGTTACACTTTTGTGGTAATTAGTATAGTATTATATCATCTGAATTACTAATTGATTAATTAGCTCCTCTGATATTTTATATTGGTGTGTGTGTGTGAATTGCATATGCATGCATGCATGCATGGTTATGTATATATGATCATGTTGATTGATTCAGGAGCTTGAAATAAACAAAACTAACGAAGGATATATTCTGGTTGGATATCTTTGTAAACATTGTAGGTGGAAAAAACTCCATACAAAAGACTGTGTAGCACAAAGAACATACTGACTGTAAACGGCCAGTTTCCTGGGCCAACACTGTATGCTCGCACGGGAGATACTATAATCGTCGATGTCTATAACAAGGGCAATCGTAACATTACTATCCATTGGTAATATTCTTTTCTTTTCTTTTTTAAATTTAAATTTATTATTTTTATGTAATTGTGACTTGTGATATAATTAAATGATTTCAATATTTCAGGCATGGAGTTAAGCAACCAAGGAATCCATGGTCGGACGGCCCTGATTATATCACGCAATGCCCAATCCAACCAGGAGGCAGCTTTACCCAAACTATCATATTTTCCTCTGAGGAAGGCACCCTCTGGTGGCATGCTCACAGCGAGTGGGATCGAGCCACCGTCCACGGCGCTATAGTCATCTACCCCAACAAAGGAGCCACTTACTCTTTCCCCAAGCCTCATGCAGAATTTCCAATCATCTTAGGTACGTAATTCAAAATTAATTCGACAATAATATAATGTTATTGATATATACATGTTCAACAAATTGACTTGAAAATTGTAGGGGAGTGGTGGAAGGAAGATATAGGACAGCTTTATAATGAAACTATTCAAAATGGAGGGGACCCTAACATTTCCAATGCTTTCCTCATCAATGGTCAACCTGGCGATCTTTATCCTTGTTCAAAACCAGACACATTCAAGCTGATGGTTGATTGTTGTGAAATTTATTGCAAGCGCACAATCCGCACAAGTAATACAGTGATAAGTGAAATGTCGTTCCCACGAAGAGTGATTTAATTTACTAAGTACCAATTGTGATTAACCCAAGACTTTATTTGAACAATTGAATGATGAGATTTGGTTGATTAATTAACTAAAACAATGAATAAAAGCAAGCATAGAACAATAAAGTAGTAAGATTCAAGTTATGAGAGCACTAGAGCTTCCGATTTCACCATAGCCAATTCTACCCAATTCCCTTAGCATGTTAATCCTAATTATTCTCCACGTTGACAGTCGATTTTCCCTACTTTATTCGATACTCCATCCCTGGTTATACCAAAAGTATTCTTATTACCAACCCACTCTATCCCTAGTGATGGAATTAAGAACCCATTAAACTCCTTGAAAAATA